CTTTGCCAGACCCCTGGGAAGGAAGAATCTATTATACATTGCCGATTTCAACCACACGCAACAAAAAGGGGTGCATCAGTTGTCTAGACTGATGCGATTTTGTTTTGCTTGTACAGCATGAAAGTATTTTTGTAACACGAGGTATTTCACAATATCTAGCTGATCTTAAGCTTCCCATTATGTAGTAATTTTACAGCATGTAGGAAATATTCAGTACTCTGCTTAATACTAGGAAAGTTACTAGAGATAGTAGCATTCACAATTTGTAGTGGCAGCAGCAACATTGGCTATTAGCCTGGCAATTTTACTTATGACTTGGCTGTGACCTAATAGCAAAATGATTTAGTCTTAGGATAGGTGATAGAAAGCGCATATTGTTGTTGTTGTTGTTTTTTTTTGTGGGGGCGGCTAAAACAGTTCAAACGTTTCAGTGTATCAGTTATAAAAAGTAAGCCCGATTGTGTCAGAAAGCAGCTTCGGTTGTGATGGATCACCAACTTTTTTACAAAAACACTTTGACAGACACCAATTGACGCGAAATCAAGGGGGTCTTCGTTTTGCAGAAAAGCCCCCCTGAATCTACAAAACGAAGACCCTTACTTAAATGCTTTGTCAGACGCCAATAGACGCAAAATCAAAAGGGTCTTCGTTTTGTAGAAAAGACCCCCTGAATCTACAAAACAAAGACCCTTGCTAAAACGCTTTGTCAGACGCCAATAGACGCAAAATCAAGGGGGTCTTCATTTTGTAGAAAAGACCCCCTGAATCTACAAAACGAAGACCCTTACGTAAACGCTTTGTTAGACGCCAATAGACACGAAATCAAGGGGGTCTTCGTTTTGTAGAAAAGCCCCCCTAAATCTACAAAACGAAGACCCTCACTTAAATGCTTTGTCAGACGCCAATAGACGCGAAATTAAGGGGGTCTTCGTTTTGTTGAAAAGACCCCCTGAATCTACAAAACAAAGACCCTTACTAAAACGCTTTATCAGACGGCAATTGACGCGAAATCAAGGGGTCTTCGTTTTGTAGAAAAGACCCCCTGAATCTTCAAAACGAAGGCCCTCACTAAAACGCTTTGTCAGACACCAATTGATGCGAAATCATTTGGTCTCCGTTTCATTTGTTTAAAGGACCATGTGAATATGCAAAACAAATCAAATATTGTTTATTTGTGGCTATTCAATTCTGGAATTATAGAAACTACACACATGGAATATGTCTTCAATCCCTGATAGAATTTACAAACTGTTATATCTTGATTTCTATTTAAAGAACATTAACAAAACCAAAGTAAACAACAATGTGCCAATTATCTAACTGCAGTTTGAAATTAAAATTCCCTGTAACATATTTGTACTGATGTAGACAGGCATGGGTGTTCTCCTCACTAATGACATA